GTATGTTTGGGCCACATTATTTTTCTCATTCTCATTCTTCTACTCATTTTCAACCACACATTTTTCAATAAAATAATATTTTTCATCACATCAATAACTTTTTCTTTTTTTTCAACCACACATTCTCCATCAATCCACTATTCCAAAATAATGTGACTCAAACACACCCATAATCTAGGATATGGGCACCAAACACAATTTCTAGGATATTCCCATAAAAAATTATAAGAAAAGGTAGAAGCTTCAAAAAATCTATTATTTTCAAAAAAAAGTGGACCCATGGCATGGCAGTTTGAAAAGAAGAAGCAACAAGCAAGAATTGAACAATTGGCAGCATACCTTTTGTAGCTTACTTTGCTTACAATGTTTGCCTATTTCTTTTCGTTTTGAATTGATAAATTGCAATTTGAAAGCTCTATAAAGGAAGAAGAGAGAATGGCGAAAAAAGTGTTATCACTGAAAATTATGAAAAATTACACTTCCAAGTGCTCAGCTTTAGTATATATACACAAGACTCCTAACTAACTCAACCGTATGAAACAATGTGCAATTACTTAAATAACCCTACACAAACATGACTCAATATTGATTCAATATAAATTTCAAATTTGAAATAACATAAAAGCCATAAAAAAGCTAAAAAAAGTTCAGATTTTTCTCAGATTCTGTTTTCCAAATGTTGAAGGTTTCCTCTCACCCTGGTACAGCATGGGGGACTCAGCTGTCATTCTTGCCTTCCCTTGTGCTTCAGATTTATCCAATGAAGCCAAACAGGTAAAGAAGATGAAAAGTAATTTTTTTTATTTATTTTTTATTTGTTGTTCTAATATTTTATTTTGTATGAAATTTGCTATTCATTTAGTTAAAATACCAGATTCTTGCATTGGATTATATAGAGTCAAATTATATTGTACACTCTCGTGTAATGTGGATCAACCTAATATTGTTGGACTTTTATCCTGATTCTTTTTATGGAGATTGCTGTTTTGTGATAAGAATACAAGATTTTTGTGTTAAACTGCACACAGTCTAATTGCAGTGTTGACTTTCCGTTCGACGACAAATCGACCTAATATTCTAGCTATAGAGGATTTTTTTATGAGCCAGCTCGATTTTGTGTATAAGATGCACGAGAAAACCTGCAGCAGCTAGTCTCTAACATGGAGTGTGAACTGCTATAAACTTTTGTGTATTTTTTTCTGTTTTCAGTGATTGGACTTAATATGTGACATCTTGAAAGTTCGATTCTGTGAGAAATGAAAGTTAAAGGAGTATGTATTACAGGAGCACCCCATGCTTGCACTTGGGGAGTCGATTTCTTTTGGGAGGTTTATGTCGGAATCCTTGTCGTGGGAAAAACAAAAAATGGTTGACCTTTTATAACAAGAAATACGTTGAAGAGGCCGAGAGGTATTCACTGCCCGGATCAGTAGCCCAGAAGAAGGCTTTTTTCGAGCCTCATTACAAGAGAATTGCAGCTCAAAAGTTGGCAGCATTGTTGGAACAAGAAAATTCTGTTGTTGAACAAAAGATCCCAGATGCAAAAGTAGACAATGTAAGAACTCTTTAGGTACACAGTATTGCAATGAATGGTACAATTACAACTACAACGGATAAGATACTAATTATTTTGTTTCCCTAATAATTTTGTCTAATCCAGCATAAAGATGTTGAAAAGGTTGAATCAGATAAAGTACAAAGTGTCTAGGTAGATCAAATGGCCCGGTGACAGGAAAAGAAGCCTTGATGGAGACTCCTGTGAAGAAAATTTCGATGAATCAGGTTCACAATCTTGAAAACAATGACAAAGTTACAAGATCAGATATTAAAGGTATACCAAAGGTGGACAGATCTTTGTTAAAGGTGATAGAAATTGACAAGGTGGATTTCTGTGCAAGTATGGTAAACAGTATTGAAACCGATAGTTTTGTGCCAACGCAGCAGAATTCTACTGCTGAAACGGAAAAGCTACTGGTGGCAAGCAAGAAAAAAACAGCTCTTTCTTCATTGAAATCATGGTTTCGCCGTAAAACATCACCGGTTCACGAAATAATCTGTGAATTCTCTTACAATATGCTTGTTTACCAGCCTCTCCAATTCCCTGATTGCTCGTCTGGAAAGAGTTCGAGATAGAGAACATGCAAAATTTTCCACAGATTCTTTTTCTTTAGCCTGAGCTTAAATTTGACGAGTTGTGGAACTGAATTAGTACATTTTCTTTTGGCGTCGTCTTTGCAGGAACTCAGGGACAAATTAAATGCCGAGGAGATGCCAAAGGTGCAGCTAGGAACCGAATTTAGGATTAATTAAACTCTTGACACAGATTTTCTATCATCTGATTGCATTTGGTCTCTCAAAGAAGCTTAAAGTTGACCAATCCCTTGTAATTGAAAGATTCTTTTGTTTTTTGCAGGAGAAAACTGGAAGATAATTTAGAAAAGCACGTCATATCTTTTGCTTCAAAGCCTGTTTTCTACAAACATCAACTCTTCAGATGTAAAAGGTATATCTTTCCACAATTGAATTATAAATTATCTGATGGTATTATTGAAGACTTGCAAAACACATCTTCGTTTCACATGGCCTCAAAACTGTGATATTCTGCTGCTTCACAGGATGTATTTCCAATTCATGTCATGATGAATCTACTAATATTTCACATAGACGGCTCTGTTCTTCGTATTGAGAAAATTAAATTGAATGAAACTGAAACTTAAAATGATAGAACCTGCTGTAATGGCAGGGAAGAAGATGAATTTTACATTCATTCAACTTGGAGAAAATACAATGCATACTAGTCTATTTATAGAGAAATCAACTAATCACTAAATGGAAGCCTCTAGAATTGAAGAGCTGTAATGAAATCTTCATCTGCTGGAACACGTGAACTGATGAGGTGAAGAAGCTGCACGTGCTGGTGAAATTAGAAGGATCCGGAAGCAGGCTGTTGAACGTGTTCAGATGAGCTAGAGAAGAAGTTGTTGCTGGACATGAACTGAAATTGGAACTAATAATTGAATATTACAACACTTCGAGCTATGCTAGTTGTACAACCTAGGTTGACAATTAGTCACATGGGAGGTCCACTTTTTTTTTGAATTTTTTAAACATGCAGACCCCGCACACATGTGGGAGGTTGTCAACATCCGTTGTACAAATTGAATTTTCCATATTCTTCATCCTTAGACACTGCTACGCCTCTTCCACTAAGCTCCAGATCATATCCACATGGCAGCTAATTAGCAAGTTACCAGACCCACACTTCACATCACCACCCACCTGGACACCCACTTGGCCGAGGTGGGATCATGCTGAGGTGATGGACCACTTCATCCAATTTGCCTTGGGAGGCCAACCCTTCGAGATGAAACGTCTATCGCATGAAGACGTCCAAAGCACCTAGCCTCTTAAGTGTTAGAAAGCATCTGCCGATGTCATTTCTTCCAGGGAAATGTTTTGAACGAATCTAATTATGATTGATTGATATAAAGTCCCTGACGCCTAGAGGTCAAGTTCTAAGCCTACTTCTCAAAAAACATTAATTGTCGCATTAAATGATTGACAAATTGATACCTAAGAGGAGACACCTCGATCGCCCAGATGAGGTCACGTGTCTTCTCATTTAACGATTAGTATTTCTCCTCTACTACGATAAAGGCTCACACATTGTGACATTTGAATGTAATGCAAATTTACACACAAACTTTAAACTTTTTCCCTCTCTCATTTTTTGACACATTCTTGGCATACATTGATGTGAACCCGCGTAGCAATGTTGACTACGGAACCCACAGGAGATTGAAACCAACCCAAGAAAGCCCAAGACAAATAAGGTTTATGGATTTTGATCCAAAAAACAATGAACCAAACAACTGATGCAATCACAAACGGATATGACAACCTTTTGGCTACACAATTTAAGAATTCAAACCCGAAATTTAAAGTTCGATCGAATAAATAATTGGATCAAGAAACCAAGACAATTACAAGAATATCTCGACCCCGTGATTAAAAAATCTACGAACCTCACTTAGATTGTTGAACGCCACAAAGATTACTCACCTTTGATAATTTTGATAAATTTTTCCATGAAGAACAAAGAAAAAAGCAAAACGCGTCTCAATTTAATTTCATAATATATTTCTTAGTTTACAATGAAAGAAATAACGCATATTTATACTAAAACCCTAAGACCTAGTTTAACATGGAAATAACTCTAAANTATAGATAGAATCCTAACTGAATAAAGAAACTCACGAAATTTCAAAAATTCTACCCCGGATTATTTCTATGCGGTTTCTCCTTCCAAAACACTTCAATTCTTGAATAATCGGTACCCCCCTTGGATCACATATACATACACTGTCTATGGCTCGCATCCCTAGACATCCCACCCTATATTCCGTCATCGTTGACTGACTTGACCGTCAGAATGCTTGCGGCCTCCTTTATCACCAACGGAAAAGACCACGTATTGCCACGGTTAGAGGTGACCAAATGGGGTCTAGAGAGTGCTACCTTAACTTCTTGAGAAGGTTGAACTACGCACTAAACATGGTGTTACATAATGTTGAAATGATCGACGCACCTGAAGAAGGGCAAACCCCTGAACAAGGAAAATAATTCGAAATGGTAGATACCCCGAAGAAGGAATGAAGAAACTTCAAAATGCATAAAAAGTTTGGTGAGAAGCATACCATAAGGTAAGTCATTGATGCAAGTGGCTGAATTATCTATTTTCATATGGCCAATTACGATAGTTGGAAAATCTAATTTGCGTCCAACTAAGAAAGACTCAAGATTGAAAAGATCAAAATGGAAAACCTTATCGTGGTGACCTTTCCTTGGAAGAATGACATTGACACTGATGTTGTGAAAAACTTTGCAAGGTAGTGTAAGTTGGTTTGCGCTAAGCTTGATAAGATGTTCGAAATTTTTACCGACATGCAACAATGGCATTATATCCCTCACGCGTTGGATGAGCCATATAGCCAAAGATTTGATTTTCACATTCTTCAAGTTCAAATAGAGTTCGGAAAAGAGTTTTGGTGATTTTAATACATTTGCCTTTGAGTAAACATGAAATGATATCCAAACTAGAATTGAAAACCAAATTTTTGTAAAATTCTTTCATAAGGTTTGGATAGGCATTTTCTTCTAGAGTTGCAATAGATAACCATCTCATGCGTTCAAATTATTCCTCAATATGAAAAGGAGCTTCAAATGTAAAATAGGCAAAATCAACACTCTTACCAACAAAAATGGGGGATTTTTCAAAAGGGTTATCAAGCACCTCTGGTCCTCTTTAGTCTCTTGCCAATGGTCTTTGTCCTTGGCATTGATGGAAAGTCAATTGGAAGGGGTGGAGATGTAGGGTTCGGATCTAGGGTTCAGATTTTTGCCTAGATGGTAGAATTTGAGGTTTTAGTGAATGAAAAGTGGGGATTTTGATAGATTTGAAGTGATTGAGTCTTACTTTTTGAAATCAAGTGAGTATTTTGAAGATTGAAGGTGAATTTGAGAAGATTAGGAACGGATTTAGAGCAGAGAAGAAGAAATGAGTGAAAATGGTTAAGAAACTTGGTTTGAATAGTTTCTAAAAACTGAAAACCCGACATTTGAGATGTCCACTTGTGAAAACTCCAATTTTCTATCTTTTCGGGCGCGTCTCCCTGGACGTCCATCACTCGTTCGCCTCTTTTTCATTTTTTGATAGAAAATATTATGTTCAAGGTGGCAGGACAATTTCGACCAAAAATGCACATAAAATTAAATATATAAACAATTAACGCGCACACACAATTTAGCCACATACTTTAAATTCATCGATAATGCCCAAATCTTTTCGGATATATGAAAGTCTATGAAGTGCAAGTGGTTTTGTTAGAATGTCAACCAATTGATTTTCCATATTCACAAACTCTAATAAAATATCCCCTTTTGAACATGATCTCTCAAAAAGTGGTGTCTAATCTCAATATGCTCGGTCCGAGATTGCAAATGGGATTTTTAGATAAGTTTATGGCACTGATAACACATTATAGGAATATGATCGAAAGATAAGTGATAGTCACCAAGTGTTTGTTTCATCTATAAAAATTGTGTACAACAACCAACGGTCGAGATATAATTGGCTTCGACCGTAAATAATGCAACGAAATTTTGTTTCTTACTAAACCATGATATAAGTGTAAAGCCTAAAAAGATACATGTTTTGTTAATGCTCTTACGATCAATTGTGTAACCGGCCTAATCGGCATCTGAATGGCTAAGTAAATCAATATGGGTACCAACGACCTAATGTTCTAGTACCATTAAGATATCTAAAAATTTGTTTTATAGTACTAAAGTGTGATTTTTTTAGGATTAGATTGAAATCTATCGTATAAGCACAAACTAAATATAATATTATTTTTTATTTTTTGAAATTTTTTCTAATTGTATGAGCAAGGAGGTTGAAATGAGCATGATGGGAGAACTCAAGTTCTTCATTGGACTCAAAATCAAGCAAACTAATGATGGAATATTCATTGGTCAAAATAAATTTATCTTGAACATGGTTTGAAATGGAAGACCAATGAACATTCCAATGAGCTCATCAATCAAATTGGATAAAGATGATCAAGTCATAACTAAATATCGAGATATGATCGGATCTCTTCTTTCAAGCATAAGAATTTGGACAGACACTTTAAAGATGTCATGAAG